GCCTAGTTGCCGTTGAGGATGTGATGGTAAGCAGCCAAATGAAGGTCATGAATATTTGAAATTCTCTTCATCACGAAAGCAAAGGAGTCTCTGACACTACATATACTCAAGGCTGATTTTGTTAAAGTTTTGACTTACAAGGCAATTGTGTGATATGGGAGCAGAGAATAAGATGGTGTTGAGGCCATGATCAAATCAGTCATGATCTTATTGAAGAGGGAAAACAGGCTCATGAGGCCAAATTTCCTCCTATTTCTTTATAAATAACGGATATAGTAGTTCATATATTTTGTACCTAACCCTATACCTATTATTTTCTTTATTCTACAAGTCTTGTTCCGAGTATTATTCTAAAGTTGACATTGAAATAATATTCTGTCAAGCTGAGTGGGAAATCATCCATATGCACTAATCTTAATAATACAACCAAAACTGTCAACTGTGGCTCAGATTTTGCTGTTCAAAGAACAACGAAAGCATAACTTCTGCCATCAGTACTGCACTGAAAATATCAGCAAAAGGGAGCTCAGACAAGGGAAGGCAATGACCAAGTGGTATTATTGCTAACTATTAATCCAGAAACCCAGCTAACGTTTTGGGGACCCAGGTTCGAATTCCACCGTGCCAGATGGTGGAATTTGAATTCAATTTTAAAAAAAGCCTGGAATTAAGAATTTAACAATGCTTGGTTTTTCTGACAATCATCAATCTGGCTTATTAATGTCACTCAGGCTCGTCACCTGGTCTGCCTACATTTGGTCTGCCACAGAAATGTGGTTGACTCTCAACTGCTATCTGAAATGGCGGAATAAGCCACTCAGTTGTACCAATGATTACAAACTCACAAAGAACTGGATCCAAACGGACCACCCAGAATCAGGAAAGACAACGGAAGAAACAGCCCTGTCAACCCTGCAAAGTCCTCCTTACTAACATCTAGGGGCTAGTGCCATAACTGGGAGAGCTGTCTCACAGATAGTCAAGCAACAGCATGACATAGTCATACCCACGGAATCATACCTTACAGACACTACTATCATCAACCTTGGATATGCCCTGGCTCACCATCAGGGCAGAACTGGCAGAGGGGGCAGCTCAGTGGTACACAGGTGGAAGGGAGTAGCCCTTCAAGTCCTCAACATTGAACCCTGACTCCATGAAGTCGCATTACTTCAGGTTAAACATGGGCAAGGAAATCCCCTGCTGAATACCACGTATCGTCCATCCTTGGCTGATGAGTTAGTACTCTATGTTGAGCAACTCTTGGGAGGACGCACCGAGGGTGGCGAGGGTGCAAAATGTACAATTGATGGATGATTCCAATGTCCAACACCAAGGGTGGCTGAGCAGCATCACTATTGATCGAGCTGGTCAGGTCCAAAAGCATATAGCTGCTAGGCTGGGATTGCGGCAGGTATTAAGAGAACCAATAAGAGGGAAAAACATTAGACCTCATCCTAACAAATATGCCAGTTGCAAATGCATTTGTCCATGACAGTAATCGGTAAGAATGACCACCGCACTGTCCTTGTGGAGACAAAGTCCCGCCTTCACACTGAGAATATCCTCCATCGTGTTGTGTGGCACTATCATGTGCTAAAACGGAACAGACTTTGAATAGATCCAGCATCTCAAGACTGGACACCCATGAGGAACTATGGGCCATCAACAGCACCAGCATTATATTCTAATCACAATCTGCAACGTTGTGGCGCAGCATATCACATACTAAACCATTAGCATCAACCAGTGGATCAAAGAACAAAATCAGAAATTGCTGGAAAACCTCAGCAGTCCTGGCAGCATTTGTGGAGAGAAATCAGAGGGAACATTTCAGGTGATAGTGACCCTTCCATTGACCCTTCCTTCAGCCAGTGGATCAACACTGGTTTAGTGGAGAGTGCAGAAGGGCATGCCAGGAGCAACACTGGTCATATCTAAAAATAAGGAGTCAACTCATGAAGTTACCAACTGGACTACTTGCATGCCAAACAGCAAAAGCAAGTGAGAGATGGAGCTAAGGATCACATCTAAACACTGCAGTCCTGTCACATCCAGTAGCGAATAGTGGAGAAAAACTGAATAATTTAGTGGAGGAAGAAGTTCCATAAAACGCTCAACACATCAGAGCAAAAGATGAGGCTGAAACAATCGCAGCAAACTTTCACCAGAAGTGCCAAGTGGATGATCCATTTCAGATTCCTCTGGTGATCCCCAGCATCACAGTCTTCTGCTAATTCGATTCACTCCATGTAAAATCATGAAACACCTGAGGGCACTGGATCCTGCGAAGGCCAAGGGCCCTGATAAGATTCCAGCAATAGTACTGAAGATTTGTGCTCAACAAACAGGTTGCTCCCCTAGTCAAGCTGTTCCAGTAGAGTTACAACACTGGCATCTACCCAACAATGTGGAAAATTACCGAGGTATGTCTTGTACGCAAAAAGCAGGACAAGTCTAACCCAGCCGACTACCTCCTCTTCAGTCTACCCTTAGTCATCAGTAAAGTGATGGAAGGTGTTATTAATAGCACTTTCAAACAGCACCTGCTGATAACTTGCTCACTGACGTCCAGTCTGGGTTATGCGAGGAACACTCCGCTCCTGGTCTCTTTACAGCCTTGGCTCAAACTTGGACAAAAGAGATGAATTCTAGAGGTGAGATGAGGGGAGAGTGACAACCCTTGACATCAAGACTGCACTCGACAGAGTGGCATTAAGGAGCCCTAACAAAACTGGAAACAATGGGCATCAGGGTTCAAACTCTCTGCTGGTTGGAATCATACCTGACATATAGGAAGATGATTGTGGTTTAGGAGATCAGTCATCTCAGTTCCAGGACATTTCAGTAGGAGTTCCTAAGGGTAGTATCCTCGGTCCAACCATCTTCAGCTGCTTTATCAATTAGCTTCCCTCCATCAGGAGGTCAGAAAGGGGGATGTTCACGGATGATTGCAAAGTGTTCAGCACCATTCGTGACTCCTCAGATACGGAAGAAGTCCATGTTCAAACGCAACACGATCTGGACAATATCCAGGCTTGGGCTGACAAATGGCTATAACATTCATGCCATTAATGCTGGGCAATGACTTTCTCCAGTAACAGACAGACAGACAGACAGACAGACAGACAGACAGACAGACAGACA